AGAGCAAGACCCTATCAAAAAAAAAAAAAAAAAAAGAAAGAAAGAAAGAAAGAATCCTCTGGGGTTTCTTGCATCTAGACCTCTCCCCCTGGGTTTTGTCCTCCCTTACCTGCATGGTGCAGTGCAACAGGGCATGGGACTTGGAATTAGAGGACTTGGGTGTGTGTCTTGACTTGGTCATTTGCTAGCAGTGTGACCCTGGCTAGCCACTTAATTTCACTGAGCTACAGCTTCCTTCTCTATAAAAGAGGATGTTATTAAGACCTACCTCACAGGGTTGTTATGCGCTTAAATGATGTAAACACTCTAACTTGTAAAGCGCAACACAAATTATTAGTTACTATAATTGTATTCGTGTATTAGTATTAATATTCATATTTGTATAAAGAAATAAGTACTATGTCATATCAACGTGCAGCCCTAAGCTTAGCAACAATCAAGGCTGCCAGTTGTTGGGCATCTGCTGTGTGGGGATTCTTCTCCATCACTGCAAGGACGATGTTAGAAGGGAAAATATTGCAGAGGTTCTTGTAGGTCTGATACTGGTGCTCTGGGATCATATGCTCCCTGGAATCATTGCACATTCCAACCCAAGGATTCCTCCAAAGCTGCTCCATCTTTTCAGGCACGCTCCGTACCATGACTGGCTCATAACATGGTTGCATGAGGTTGTTACTCAAGGGATAGGAGTGGTAGCCATAGGAGTCAGTTGCACAGGGCAGCGGGTCCCAGCTGGCATGCTGTTCCCGGCACAGGGGAGGTCGTCTTTGCCTCACAGGGTTGCTCTCATAGAGGCGGGAGTCAGAAATGCTATCCATCCGAGTCATCACCAGGGCACGGCCTGGCTGGGGGGCTGCCCCAGGATGGATATTGGGAGGCATGGGGTAGTCTGCAGGACAGCTGGAACATGCTCCAGTTGCTGGGTGCTGGGCATGCAGAGCTAAGTGGGGGACTGACTGTTTGTGAGGGCCTTGCTTAGAATCCTCTGGGCCATAGCTCTGCACTCGTGTTAAGGCTTCATGGTAACCATGAGGAAAAGGCTGAAGTCGGTTCTGGGATGCTGAGCGGTGCAGCTTCAAATTGCCTTCAGGATGGGTATCAGCAACAGCCAAATACACGTTGTTGTAAGAGGAATAGTTGTCATTCCTGGTATGGCTCACACGGCTGTCAGGACAGAGGTTAGGATTCCGGGCATACACCCCCCGGTCTGCTTCAGCCATGTAATACTCTCGATTATGCATGCTGTTGATGTTCAGTTTGGAGAAATCGCCTAACATTGAATAGTAGCCATGGTCCCCCATGGATTCAAATTTTGGATATTGCTCAGCATAGCTAATAGGGGTCCCATGGCTGTTGGTAACCAGGATGGGAGGATACTGCATGCTGGCCATATGCTCCAAAGAGGCCTTCTGGTGGGGGAAATGGGAAGATCCTGGCACTGGGCTGCTGGCCGAACGGGTGTTGAGTGCACCCACTGCATGGCTTTTAGGGGGTGGGATTGTGGGGACACTTAGGGCAGTCACAAGAGAGGGGACAGAACTAGCCTCAGGCTTACGGGCAATAGACAGCCATTCCTCAGGCTCCACAGCCACAGATCGGATGCTGGGATCTGATTGGCGCTTGGGGGCCACACGTTTGACCTCTGAGGTTATCTCACCTTTGGCACTAGACATCCCTGTGCCACACTTGGCCAGGGTGCCTTCACTCATAGTTTTCACTGTGGACAGTTTGGCACTGATGCGGAGCTCATCAGCCACCGAACGCTGGGGTTGGTTGGCCCGCTCCGGATGGTAGTATTTGCACTTGTGGCCGTAGGTGCATTTTTTGCCTGAAAAATAATGCCTTGGGGTAAGACTCTCTCTCAGTGATGTAACCCTCCGTGCCAGAAACTGTTGTAACAATCTGGTCACTCAGGTTAGGGCTTTACTGTTTGGGGTAAAGGCAGAAAATTAACTGTCCACAAAGATGAGAGACAGACAACACCAAGGAGGCATCACACACTGTGAGGGGAGAGAGAAAGTGGAAAGCTATGGAGAAAATTGCAGCATAAAAGCTAAGAGCTGGCTGGATGCGGTGGCTCATGTATGTAGTCCTAGCAATTTGGAGGCTGAGATGGGTGGATCACTTCAGCCCAGGAGTTCGAGACCAGCTTGGGCAGCATGGTGAAACCCCATCTGTAAAGAAAAATGCAAACAAAATTAGCTGGGCGCGGTGATGCACGTCTGTAGTCCCAGCTACTCAGAAGGCTGAGGTGGGAGAATCGCTTGAGCCTGAAAGGTCAAGGCTGCAGTGAGCCATGATCATGCCACTGCCCTCCAGCACAGGTGATAGAGCAAGACCCTATCAAAAAAAAAAAAAAAAAAGCTAAAGCTGAGCAGTTGAGAAGCTTTAATTTTTCGATAACGCACAACTTTGCCTAGGCATAATCTGCATGCTGAAGCAGCACAGAGTAACTGAAAGCAGCATAATGCAGTGCACAGAGCACAGGTTTGGAGTCCAGTCACATCTGAATTTCAATTCCAACTATGTCCCTTACTAGTTGTGTGATCTTGGTAAGTGACTATATTTTGTGAGCCTCATTTTCCTCTTCTGTAAACAAGGTTGATCATCATGCCTATATTATAGGGTTATTGTATAGATTAAATGAGATAATGAACATGAAAGTACTCTGTGACTTAAATGTTGAGGACAAAAACCAAAACACCCCACAAAACAAATGATCATCCAAAAAGGACAGACATCCAAAGTAGCCTCAGATCAAGCAGCCCATGTCGCACAAACCTTGTTTCAGAGGGACTTGGGTAAGAGCATGAAAACACTAGAAAACTATATGTATTTAAAAACAAAAACAAAAAAAACAAAAAAACTTGGGCTGGCGTGGTGGCTCATGCCTGTAATCTCAGCATTTTCGGAGGCCGAGGCAGGTGGATCACCTGAGGTCAGGAGTTTGAGACCAGCTTGGCCAACATGGTAAAACGCTGTCTCTACTAAAAATACAAAAATTAGCTAGGCGTGGCATCACACACTTGTAGTCCCAGCTACTGGAAAAGCTGAGGTAGGAGAATCGCTTGAACCCAGGAGGCAGAGGTTGCAGTGAGCCAAGACTGTGCCACTGCACTGTAGCCTAGGTGACAGAGCGAGACTTTGTTTAAAACAAACAACAAACAAAAACTAGCTCTATTAATGCATTTTAATGTATCTCTAGATATACACTAGGCAAACGCAGACAATGTTGTTGGACACTATGTCTTCCCTTTATCTAGTACTATTNAAAGATCAGTATCAATTGACAGAGGGTCCAGTCACCTGCCTGAGACACATGTTCATCTTGGGGCCAAACTCAGTTTGGTATTGCCCTTTCTGCTTCCACAGGCCATATAGGTTTCTCTATTTCCCTGCTCACAGCAACATAGTTCAGGACGTAGGCAGATAGAGCACATGTTCTATTGTCACAAGTGACAACTAATCTTCCATTCAATTCTAGCTACCTTTTCCTCATTCAGTTTCTAAGATTTTTCTTTAATTACCTAACAGTGTACATGAAGACACAAACTTTAACTCACAGACAGTGGACAAACCAGGATTTCCCATTTGAAAGGGAAACCTGGAAGAGAAAAGAGTTCACAGAATCCTTATGTTTTCTGTGGTACATAACTTAATTTTGTGCATAGGTACTCACCATAAGGACATGGTTGCTTCTTATGCTCAGGAACAATGGGTCTCTTTCTTAAGAAATTTTCAAGGCTTGGGCCATGGCGTCCTAAAGGATCATCTGGAGGCATAAATCTGAAACGAAGTAAGCAAGAGGTGACCGTCTTCCTTTCTGTCCCCTACTCCTTACTAGACGTTTAGACTTTCGTGTCTGTACTGCTGTCACAGCCTTCTAATTGCCCTTCCTCTGCTAATATGGCAGTTCTTCCCTTTGTTGCCACTTTATCATATAGAAAGGATGATTTTCCCTGTTCAACATTCTTCCATGAACTATATGTTCTAGCCATGCTGGCGTGTCTGCTGGTTCCCCCAATATGCCACCCATTTTCATGCCTTCATAACTTTATTCATGATATCCCCCTCACCTGTCATGCCTAGCAGCCCCCTTTCTTCCATCTGTAAACTTGATCTGAAACATCTCCTCTCGGATGCCTTTTTCTATTACTTCATATAGACAAAGCAATTTTAAGAAACAACTTTTAACTATAGCTCTTACAGCAACACATTGTGGTTGTCTCTTTCGCTCCTCTACTACACTTTGAGCCCCTTAAGGGTGAGTCCTTTTCCTTATTCATCCTTTCATCTCTATGGCAACCAGCAAAATATACGATACACAGTAAGTGTTCGGTGAATGTTTATTAAAATGAAATGAAGTCTATTCCTACTGATAACTTGGATATAGGCCTAGTGGAAAGAAACGCACTTGTCATTCACAAAAGAATACATCAGCAACCGCTCCTCTATAAACTTCTTCCATTCTGGCTTTTCAACTTGAAGGTCTCGGTAGTTATCATTGGACACAATGATGCCATCAGAGTCAAAAGCCAGTTTGACTATGAACCGGTCATCATAGCAGACAACCCTCCTGCCTTGGACTCTTCGGGATGGTGTGAAGACGAGAATCTTTTCTTTCTCCAGTTTTCTTAGAATATCTTGATCTGTTAAAATACGATTATATGCCACAGAGCAGAAATCATCTTTGGAAATTAACAGTATTAACTCAATATTAAAAATGCAAATGTTGGTACTGGATGACGATGTTATGTGCCCTTTAGAGGGAAAGTAGGCCCTGTTCCTGGCTTATGATATCAATTTGGAATATGACTTTAGGCAAGTCATCTTCCCCTTTGGACTTCAGTCTTCTTTTTGATAAAATGAAGGAACTGGATTCAATGACATCTAAGTTTTAAAAACGACCAAGAAGGGTAAGAGGAACATTGATATCTTAACATTCTTGATGCTTGTTTTGTCCTTTGGCCAAAGCACCAGCTTTTTGGTTGTTGATTTCTAACAGGGAAGTACTGAGGATGTGTCTGTCAAGAGAAAACTAAAGCATCTCTCTTAGGGACTTACATTTTTGGCTTTTGCCTGAGGGAAGGCCAAAACTAGGATGAAACATCAAGCTATAGCATCTGAGTGCTGACGCCCTTTCCTTTTGGTCTCCTGATTGCTGAGGCAAAAAATTTGCTGACTGGGCTTGAACAGGGCAAGGATCTATTCTCAGCCTGAGGCTCAAGAGTCTGTTAAGCAGATGGCAAATAGCTTCACACACAGCTCAGACAGCCATTCACTGGACTTTCTCATTAGGCATACCCGGCAATAGCTGATGCTCAGAAGACAGTTGTAAATGAATGTAGAGACGCTTCTGCCATTAGGACTGCATCATGACTTTTGAGCACCTTAGGCATTTTTGCCTTCTTGGGCCCCTTCCTCTGTAAGAAATGTTAAATATTGGCTGGGCATGGTGGCTCATACCTGTAATCCTAGCACTTTGGGAGGCTGAGGCGGGCAGATAGCTTGAGCCCAGGAGTTCAAGACCAGCTTGGGCAACATGGCAAAACTCCGTCTCTGCTAAAAATACAAAAATTAACCAGGTTTGGTGGGACCTGCTCATAGTCTCAGCCAGTCAGGAGGCAGAGGTGGTAGAATCACCTGAGCCCAGGGAAGTAGAGGCTGCAATGAGCCATGATCACACCACAGCATTCCAGCCTAAGTGACAGAGCGACACCCTGTCTCACAAAAAAAGAGAAATATTAAATATTAAAAATTTCATTTTCAATTACTTTGATATAAAGCCAAGGATAACCCAGCTAGATACATCATTATACATGCATTGCTATTATATTCAATTTTTTCTTCTGATGTGAGAAGAAAATAAAATTAAGACATTTTCATGGCCCTTAACAATATCATTGGCCCTAGGTACCAGACTTTTGTGTTTTATCTTTTGCTGAATTGAAGTTTTCTTTATTTAACTGTCAGATGCCACAAAGTAATGATGGCTTTATCTGGAAATCTTTTCAAATATACACTTAATAAAAATACTTCAAATATACTTAACAACTTTGAAAAATAAATATCTACATTGGAACCATCAATCTTTCCCCAGACTATCTTTCCAGGTTTGTCTCTAGATGAGAAGAAATGTCTTATTATTTGACACAGTACCGGAAATTGGTGCATCAGGGCGGGATTGCTCCTTTCTCCATGCAGGCACAAATACAGTAATATCTTTATGGCCTTTATCTAGAAACCAATCCACAGCAAGTTGTATTCCTCTGCAGGAGAATTCTTCTTTATTCCCATGGCTTTAGGAAGATAGAGAATAAGAGGAGACAAGATTGATAATACGTAGCAAAGAAATACCTGAAGCAGGCTTTTTCTTAGTACCAAGGTATTAATAATAGACTTTTCTTTTCTTTTTTTTTTTCTTTTCTTTTCTTTTCTCCTTCCTTCCTTCCTTCCTTCCTTCCTTCCTTCCTTCCTTCCTTCCTTCCTTCCTTCTTTCCTTCCTTCCCTCTTTCCTTCCTTCTTTCCTTCCTTCCTTTCTTTC